TTTTTATTTTAAAATTATTTTTAATATTATATATATTTACTCATTTAATGATATATTATAATTGTAAATTTATAATAACATGTGATATTTTAAGTACATTACTCTTGGGCAATATATATACAGACACACAAGGAGAGCTTCAATCTCTTAAGGGGATTCAATCTCTAAGAGTGTGTTCGGATTGGAAGCTTCTTTTCTCTCTCATTTAGGAAAGTTGAGGGGTATTTATATATATTCACACCTTAATGCAACAATAAAAAGTAATGTTTGCATTTTAATCTTTATTTTTTTTTTGAAATAATTTTTAATAAATATATTTTTTTCTCACATTTTTTTAAAAGTAAAATATTTTCTTAGACTTTCTTAATCTAGGATATCTACTTAACAATTTTCTCATAAATTTTTTATTATCAATTTTTTACTAAATACAAAAAAATAATAAATTGAATAAAATAAAATTAATAAATTATAAACTTTTCATATAAAACTTTTTAACTTGATGTATAATATTGTCTCAAGAACTTAGAGCAAAATGGGGCCTAAATTTCTTAACCAGAATACCATTTTTTATAGGACCCAGAATACTCTTTTAATAACTTTTTAAACACAAAATTTGTATTTATCTCTTTAAGTACTACTGTGGAAAAAGCAAATTTGTGATAAATCAAAAGACTTTTTGAAGTTTGGCAAACAAAAAAACAGAAAAGAAAAGAAGACTTTTTGAAGCATTGAATTTGACAGGCAATTTAAGATGGACTGATTCGAAGAAGACAGAGAATCTAAAATGATAAGGTTGATATCATCTGTGCTAACCAATACTAAACCAGCCTTTTCTAGTTAAATTAAAATGAAAAAGGCTTGGTAAATTCATAGATAGCTCATGCATTCACACTTTTTAAGGAGTTTTAAAACCAGCCTTTTCTAGTCAAATTAAGATGAAAAAGGCTTGGTAAATTCCTAAATAGCTCATGCATTCACACTTTCTAAGGAGTTTTAAAAGATTGAGATTTTGTATAAATAAGGATATAATTTTTTTAAAATATTTTAATTAAGGATATGATTTTTTTTACTAATTAGGACTATTCACCTTTTAAAAATTTCTAATCAAATATATGATATTTGCAATTTTATTAGAGATAAATAAGGGCATGATCATATCCTCAATTAGCAAAGTAAGAAAAATTATATTCTTAATTAAAAAAATTTTAAAAAGTTAAATCGAAAATGAAGTTACAAAATTAAAAACTCCACTAAGACAAAATAGAAATCTATGAACATCACTGAATTTAGGAGGGACCAAATTTGCACAACGATAGAACAAAAACCTCAAAAGAAAAAAATCTGTAGCTGGGGGTAGATAAACATGTAAAGTGATAGGATTGAAAACAAAGAAACTAAATAAAAGAAAGAGGGGAGAGGGGAGAGGAGAGAGGGAGAGAGGAATTATACATATTACAAATTGCATCTAGTGTACAAATTAGACTTGGGAAATAGGTGGGATTGGGTGGGTTTGGATTAGGTTATCTCAGATCTCGAGTTTTTCAGATTGGGTTATTTCAAGTGGCAGGTTAAAGAGGCAAACTTATGATCCACCCATACGGGTTTCGGATTGGGTTGAGTGGACCCAATTTTTTAAAAAATTAAAATTAAAATTAAAATTAAATTTTTTTCATATTTTTCTCTATTTTTCTCTATTTTTCTTTAACAAAATCTAATACAATTAACTATTTAGTTAGAAAACTCTATTAAACGCTAATTTTCATTTCATGATTTAATTTTCATTCCAATCTCATGAAAAAAAAAGGGAAAGATTACTAATTACGTAGATAGAACTAAAATATATGTCAAATATGTAATACCTATACAATAGTTAGAATTCATAATTTTGTAAAGGCATCAACATTTATTAAAAGAGGAGACATGAAGAATTAGAATTTAAAAAACAAATCTGACATATATGTTAATATCTACTGCCTATTCAATATTTATAAGGATATTATACAAAAGATACAGCTTTATTCAGTATTTAAAAGGGTATTATATAAAAAATATAACCCTATTCAATATTAAAATTCAAAAGGCAAATCTAGAATATGTCTAAACAAATATAAGAAAAAACTAGACCGAGATTGATTTTGATTAATTAAGAACAAATTATTAACTAAGAA